ATATATATATATATATATATGTATGTATATATATATTCCGTGCCGTGGCGCGAGACTTCAATGTCAAGGTGCGCTTTTTTTTTATATAAACATATTACTACTCTACTTTACAGCCAAATTCAACAATCTTTGCTAAAACTCGATGCGATAATTCCGAGAGCCTTAATAATATAAAAAAAGAAGAAAACGTTGGATCAGTAAAAAAAACAGATGTTAAAACAGATACACTGTGTATCATTTCAGTAATAAAGAATAAACTTATTAAAATATATATGATATATAACGACACTGATCCTTCTTCATATACATATATATAGATTTATATATATATATATATATATAGTTTTTTTTTTGTATATATAATATACAAAAAAATTTATCATATATCTCCGCAAACACTTGTTGGATAAAAATGTTACATGATTTTAATTTGTAGTGTATCGCTATTGTTAACGATACAACTGATAACTGCCATATTAAAAACTGGCGTCGACGAATCTCAATAAGCAGATTCCGTTCTTACTTCTTTGTAGAATGCACGTTAAGTACTTTAATACATGCAAATAATGATTACTAGTAAAAATGTGTAATTGTCACAGGAAAAAAAAACCACACACACACGCACATACCCACGCACAAACTTCAGCCTGCATAAAAGCGCTTAAACCTAAGGCCAAGAAAAAAAAATAACAAAAGAGAATATGTAAAAAAAAAAAAAAGAAAAAAAATGAAAAAAAAAAGAAAAAAAGACCATTTTTTTTAAAACACTTAAATAAACATTAAAATATGAATTAACGTATTGAATCTTAGCAAAGCTCTGAAAAACAGCAGAATAAGTACTTTCAATAATGTATGCGAAACATATTACATATTATCTATATCAAGAGAAATCTAACAAGTACTCTCTTTCTTTCTTTCTTTCTTTCTCTCTCTCTCTCTCTCTCTCTTTCGCTAATAAGGAAATTATAGCGCATATGGTTTGTTTCCGTTATTTTGTCACCGCACAATGGCACGAGTTTTCATATATCTTCGATATTATTACTTTATAAATCGAGAATGTGTGTAGTGCTCTTACAAATGTTCTGCAGAGAAATAGATTCGCAGATATCTCAATCCATCGGATATATATATATATCTGCCGTACCTATAAACGTTTCATGCGCGCGTAATATTTACAAAGTGAAATAAATCATCTCTGTGATGAACATATTACATAAATTTTGTGCAGTTTATCGCAGTTCTCGTTTTATAGTTTCTTCCTCAATCTATATGATACATATATAAAGTATAACTAAGATATATAAACTCTCTGATTTCATTTTATATAGTGTTCCATTATAATTCTATGCTCTATAAATGTTTCCAATTACAATTATCTTGTCCTCTTTCTCACTTTCTTACTTCTGCTTCTCTCTTTTTCATTCGATGAATTTACTTCACATATCAACAGTATTAACAATTGGCTTAGGCCTTTCATGGATCATACAGAACGCGTTGATGCACAAATATCAATACAATTGTGATAATATTGCAAGAAAATATAGATTCCTAATATAGAACTTCGTAAATTTAAAAATATACGAATATATTTGTTCGATTTGTTATCTGATTGTATTCGAGTGCCAATATTCGATCATCATTTGTATAGTCACATCATTCTTGAAGACAATTTAATATCTCAATTTGTGAATTTCGATATTTTGGTAACGATATTTTAGTTGACAATCATTGATATTCATGTATCAACATTAATATGCTCGTTAAACTACCCGCACCAGGTTTCATCAAAATTTAAAATTGCACTAAGAAGCCTTTCACGATACTTCGCAAGGTTTTCCTTGAAGAGAGTATGAACTAACCACTTCTCTAGTAAACACTTCGCTTTTCAGAGAATAATGATGTACTCGTGTTGCGGAGTAAGGGGATGCACAGTATCACAGTTGGCACGTGGGTGCTAGCTACCACTACTGCTTACAGGCAGTGAATGTGGAGCTCCCATCGATGTTGGAGGAGCAGTTAATGGACCTAAAAAAAAAATATATACAGAGAAAAATTACTTGTATTTGTATTAATCCGATTTTATAATATAATTAAAAGGAGAAAAACCTCCCTCCCACATATGCATAACGACTCGAATTCTTGTATTTACCAGATACAACAGGTGAAGATTCGGAGACTGGCAATGGGCTAACGAGATTGTTAGCGCTCGGTGTCATTGGCGTCGAGTTGGCTTTCAATTTCTGCCTGACTTCTCGAATCTTCAATTGCAAACTCGTTTTCGTCGGAAATACATCCGAATGTTTAGCTTGAAATGCGGAAGTGGCTTGTGTGGATGGAAAATAACCCTGTTCCTGAAATAACTGCATGACCAGGTGTCTTCGTTGCTCCAACACTTTCCTATGGCCACGTTCGTTATCGCTTCTTCCGACTCCAACTGGCGTATTCCCGACAGCACTTCCGGGAGTCTTCGGTGTTGGGGAAGACGCGTCGACATCTAATAGATCGTTGTTAGCTCTGTAAGCGTCGACATTGAAATCCGGACCAAAGAATGTATTCCCTGTTAACTTAACGCTCGAAGTTGACTTTGGCGTGGCTGATATCGATGTGTCCGAGTCAATCTCATCCTCATTCACTATAAAGTAAACACATTCAATTGCATATGTGTGTGTACTTAAACAATTATAAAATAGATCGTTCAATGCAATTTACTTACTTGTGGGCCTATGAGGTCCTTGTGCAGATTTTTTTCGATAACCTGGCATTTGCATAGAAGTTTGCGAATGTAATCCGGAAGCTACACTGCTGTGGCTAGACGAACCCGGAGTATTTATACTTATCGCGCTCGGACTTTGTATATCCTCCGGTTTGAATTCCGGCAGTGAGGAGAATTTTTCTTGAAAATTTACTTGCTCAAGAACTCTGTAATTATTTCAACATATATTCACGTATTATCAAATTCAATTTGATAAAACCATGAGAAATCTCCAAATAATGTAAGTAATCATTTTACCTGTCCATGCCATCTTCAACATTTTTCTTAAAGAAGGAACCCTTTTTAGTAGAAGGAGAAGGAGAAGTGTGAGATTCTGCCAGATTCTGTTGTTGTGTCTGCTCTGTCACTTGAGATGTATTGATTTGTGATCGATTATCACAATGCTGAGATGTTGCCATTGGCCCATGGTCTCCTGCAGTCGATGCGGGAGGCATTGCTGTCGCGATAAAATAAAGAGAAAACGATAAAGAGACAGCAGCAACGAAAAAAAAAAAGAGAAGAAAAGAACTTAGTGTTTCAAATGACTCAATACCGGTGTTGTTTGTTAGTCTGAAAAAAATATTTAAACTAAGAATCATTATATACCCATAGATTGTCTCCTTTGTAATGGTGCTCGACCAAGTTGTGCCGGTGTCGGAGCGAGCATGAAGGGACCTTTACTTGGTCCTATGTCGTTATTCTGAGCTTCATCGAACGTGTATGATTTGCTCGACGGCAGATCGCCGCTCCCTTGATTACTTTGAGGTGTGTGCGGTGTATGAGGAGTCGACGGCTGTTTATGCTTTTCATTTGTTGCCGGAATAGCAATGTTCAAAGTCTCCTTTCTGTCTTCTGCTTTTATATTACTGGCTATTATACGAAAGAAAAGAGAACAATAAAGCATTGTATATATTATATAAAAACCACACAATGAACCACAACTGATTTTATTTGCAAACAAGAGATTTTTATATAAAAAAAAAAATTACCATAAAACTGAGCATGATTCGCGACTAGTTGATTGTCATTGTTCTCGGATTCCGCGAGACGAGCAATGGAATGACCGATGCCACGATAAGTCGATGTGGTAGAATTCGTCGAGACGGGATAAGGTTTGCTCACAATCACGCTCTGAATTTCCATCTTGTTATTCGAAACCATACTTTGTACAGATATAGAATTGTTACGACTACCAGCATCTGTAACGAGAAATCACAGATGTCGTTTTTTTTTCTTTTTTTGTTTTTTTTTTACTGCAACAGTAGAGAGTAATAAGCAATTTCCTGCGTACTCACCGGTAATTGGTATCTGGAACCCGCCGTATATCCTGGGATGTGACGGTGTTGGATTAAGGTACTGCGATCCCTGCTGCGATTTGGAAACAGCCACCAAATCGTTATCGAGCAATGTTAGAGTGAGCGGTGGTTGATAAGGGACAGTTGAAGTAAGGGGACGAAGAGTAGTGCCTAAAGACTGCAACGGCTGCTGTTGTTTTAACAGCGCCATCATAGGTTTCGATCCAATCTGTTAGTATCGTTAAACTTGTTACTTCATCTCTGAGCCTGAATAATCTATAAATCGTTTATTCAGAACTAGATCGGAAGAAACGTGCGCACTACTTTCCTAAGTAGAAGAAATCGTGTCGCGATGTGAAGAGATACGGGAATAAAAAATAATAGAATGTGTTGCGTAAAAAATAATTTGCGTAATTATTTTTTTACGCACAAATGTAGGAAGAAGTATGTATGGCGGATGTGTGCAGAATGAGATAAAGAACTAAAGTCCCATAATTTTGAAAGAGTTATTTCGAATACACAGAGATTTAAAAATAAAAATTTTATAAATTACAGACTCAGTTCATTTTTGTAAGTCGTGTCTCTCGTCGCGCGACCTTGAAATTATTCTTGATTCAGAAACGTGTTCATTCATGCGACAATTGTTTAGCGTGTGTTTAAGCAAATTGGCAAGATATTATGTTAAAATGTTCGCTCGTCTCTTTGTTTACTTACAGTGTGTAATATCGGAGCCGCTGTGAACTTAGGCATGTTCCGTCCGTTTTCGGTGTGAATGCTTACGAGATTGTTCACGCTGTACTGGGTGCTGTACTGTTGCTCGCTCTTCACCGGTTCCGGTTTAATAACTTTCGGCGATATCGGCATAGTTATGAAAGCGCCGCCAGTCGGTTGAAATCCTGACACTCCTGTTGGATTGACAGGACTGTGATAAGGATATGTACTCGACAAAACTGATACAGTACTGCCTTTATCCATGGAAGTATGGTGATATTTTGTTGTAGATTCTATACCTGTTGAGGGTATCCGTGCTATAGAAACATTAAGATTTACACCGTTAAAACGCATTGATCTATCTAATGTATAAAAATTAATTCTTTTTTTTTTTTTTAAGAAAGTACCTTTTATCGGTTTAGGCCTGCAGGTTATTTCCTGTTTAACATTGATCACTTCCCTCTTCTGTCCGCTCACAGGCGAGAATTGCGACTGATAGCGCTTCTTTTCCGCGTCCTCGTCTTGTACGTCGTTATCGCTGTCCGTCATTTTGTCTTTGCACTTCAAATCGATTTCCGGTTGAGGATCTTCGCAAATAACCATCTGATCGTCGTCCGATCCGTTCGCATCGTCGTCCTGTTTGACATCGACTTCCGCATTTTCAGTCGGCAAAGGAATATCCGAAACTCGATGTTGCGTATGCGATTGATTCATGATCTGTATTGACATTTTTTTTTCACAATGAGCTCGAATATCTTCTTCGAGATGAAGTTTGAAATGAAAGAAAAAAACACAAATTTCTCTTACCTCAATGTTAGCAGGAGTTTCGTTACACATAGTGATCGGAGTAGATACTTCGTCGGCGGGTACGAGTGGCGGTAATGGATCGTCCGAAGCGGAACCCTGCAAAGCGTCTGTTTCCTCCCCCGTACTGTTAAGTTTCGTTCTAGTTTCGCTTCCCTTGAAGCTCGTCGTTGACGATTTCCGTCTATCCTTATTGCACCACTTCCAGTCCGGATGCGCCTTAAAATGCGCTTCCTTCACTTCGGAGGCAAGCTCGTGATACTTTTGTTTCTCTTCTGGTCCTAACGCGTACCACCACTCTCCCAATATCTTTGATACTGTACGATTATCTTGATTCGGATGACGTTGATGCACAACAGAACGATGTCGTTTCGAGAATATCATAAATGCGTTCATGGGCCGTCGTATTCTGTCTTTAGCCTGGAAAACAAATTGATAAAATTGCATAAAAAAACATTACGCAATAATTTTCGTGATTTTGGTGACGCAATTTTGACTTGTGCGTTTTTCATTTGTTGCTAATATTTATATTAATTAGCGAAACAGCACATCGATATATCTTACTTTTAGCGGAGTTTGTGGCTGCAGAGCACTGAGTGATTGACTGCGTCTTTTATTAGCGTTAGCTTCCACTTCTGCGGGTGGAGTCGGTTCTGCTTCAAAAACATCATCGTCCTCTTCTTCAGCGGGTGTTATGGGCTCTGAAGCGGTAGTACCAGGGCCGTCCTCAGCAGGAATACTCATACTTGTCGGAATTGGAGGCGCGCTCAGAGGTGGACTCAGAGCGGAAGGAGGAGGACTCACCTCTGGTTGCTCCAGAACTGTCGTTGTCTGCCAGGAAAAAGCTGCAATGAAGTTAGTGGGTTAGTTGCGATGAGTGTGGTTAGTAATGATGCGAATTAGCTGCCAAATCATGTTACAATGGACTGTAGACGTGTTTGTTACTATATGTCTTTAGAAGAGAAGAAGGAATTAGTAGAATAATGAAAAATTAATTCTATTTAATATCACAAAAAGTATGCACGATAAACCCTAACGAGAGAACCCAGTGCGTTAGTCTGAAAATTATTTAAAGTATTCACATGTTAGTATTAATTAGTAGCTATTAATATAAATAAGAGTAGGATTATATAAATTAAAGGTTCTGGTTCTTCACTGCATATTGAATGACAATGTCAGAAGCGAAAAAATCAAGTTTTTTGCATAGCTTATGTTTGAAATAAATTTAGTTTTTTTCGAATAGTTTATGACAATAATATCGAATTAACATTCACCAGTAATTCGTCGCAAAACTTTTTTTCCAAAACTTTTGAGAGAGAGAAGTAAAAGTACTCTAAATAGCAGATTCACTCTTCTAAGAAGGAAGGGAAGTTTTCCCAGCACACACAGTTTTGTGTTATAGATACTTATTTGTAAATGTTAAATGAATTGAAAGGGTAAGAGATGAGAATAAAGTTTGTTAATTGATTTATTGCGTCTGTTGCAAACTTGACAATGGTACATGGAAAATAAAGTTAAAATTCATGTGTTAAAAAAATTATTGCAATATGAAAAATATATTTGTGCGGAAAATGTAGTAATTCTTATTACTTTTTTTTTTTTTGTTTACATATAGAAAAAAATAAAATGTTTTTCTGACGTTAACTCAAAATATATATGTACAAAAATAATAATATAAATATGTATAAAAACACAGAAAAGATAAATAGAAATGTAAAAACTTCTAAACAAAAAAATATATAAAGAAGTAAATATATAAAACATAATAATTATCTGTGTACTTATAACACTTACTTAAAACAAATAAATGTCCCTAAGTACTGTTATGTACCATTGACAAACTGCAACATACTGCAATTCCATAGACGTGATACTGATTTCAGTTGGCAGTCAGAACTCAAACCTTGTTTTTTCCAGCTGCGTACTGCATTGTTCAATAATGGGGGATGGGGCTGGTATGCAGGAGGAACTTCTTGGCTGCCATCTGTGAAAGCCTTACCGTTTAGTCAAACTTGCTTGTATTATCTCGTTTTTCAATAATGTGAGATTTGAAAACAATCGTCTTTTGGGGGGAGTTGCGAAATAGTGAAAAAATAAAATATATGAGAAAAAAAACCATAAAACCATCAACGAACCAACTGACATTAAAGTGCGTTCTACTATGTTATATAATAAACAATAAATCGTAACTCAGACATCTTAATAAGTCAATAAAAATATTATAAACAGAAAAAATAAAAAATATGAAACATGTCTATATTGAAGATAAAATGAATAATACACGGACTATCTATTCTTACGTGGGGTAAATTTAATATTATATTGTAATATTAAACTTACAAAGGATGCCATTGTTTTTTGCAGGCTCTTCCCTAGCAGGCTGGGTTTTTGGAATTTGCACCAAATGTCCTGGCTGAACAATTACGTGCTGGAAGACGCTTGTAGGAGTAGATGAATTGGATGTCTCTGTAGTAGAAGTCATTGAAACACTCGTGGGTGGTGGCTGATTTCTCTGCATATCCATATGCACAGTATGTGTGCCCATTTTATTCACCTAATGATAACGATACAATACTCTTATCTACCTATCATCTATCTACAAATTATTAACTCAAGTGGTTCAATATTCAGATTGTGTCGTTATCAACTTACAGGCTGCAGAACGGATAATTTGTCGATATGGACGGATGAAACCGCAGGTGAATGAGATGGCTGTTGACAGGGTTGAATCTGATGCAACGTGGATGTCGGCAGCTGGCCCAATTGGTTTATCAGACCCGGTCGATACTTGTCGTCTTGATTGCTCACGTGCGGACCCACCGACACATCCATGCTGTCCTTTATCACAAGGTACTTTTTTTCTGGTATCACATAGACGGGCTGGCCTTGAGATGGCGGCTGAGCGTAGTCGACCGGTTGTTCCAGTGATTTATGTACAAGCGTGAGGTTTTGCGGAGCGGAAGATAGCGGTATATGGGTATGGGGAGAGTGCGGTGGTTTTATCAACTGGGAACTTTGCTCAGGTATCTCTGAGTGATTGACGAAGTCGTTGCTCGATGTTAGCGCCTGCTGCAGGATTATGCTCTGCTGCTGCTGGGCAATTGATGTCACAACCGAGGGATGTCTCGTTGGTGGCGGACTCTGTTCTGACCACGAAAGCGTTACATTCTGGCCAGGCTGTATGCTACGACCCACCGGGGAGATTCTTATCACGCTTGTTCCTATACTAGCAGGAACAGGTGCCGTCAGAGTCGGTCGATTTGATCTCACAACTCGATTCGGCTCCGGTTTTATCACTTGCTGGGGATACTGAACCAGAAAGTTTGATTGCGTAGGCGAGTGTTTCCATTTTGCTCCAGGCGAAATCAGGGGAGTCGCGTGATGAGGAGTCGCGGGACTTGAGATGGGCATGAATACGTTCTGATTAAGACCCAGTGGCGGTACCGGTGATACTTGATTGATGCATGGGGATATAGAAGACTGGCCCGTCGGTGATGAAAAAGCTGGCGTAGCTGATCTAGAACTCCCTAAAGATACTACAAATAAAAACAGAATTCAATCATATTTATACAATTTAATAATAATAATAATAATTATTATTATTATTTTAGATAAAGATATACCAAGCATATTAGCAGCTTCAGTTTCATCTTGATCAAATCTACCGGCTATTCTTCTATCACCGTAATTCGGCGAGGTATCAGAGTCTCTTGATGTTTCTTCGCCGTCCATTTTACTGCTATGATCGGAAAAAATATATCGTAATTATCGAAATATATAAATATACATAAAATTTAAATTTTAAACGCACAATGCAAGAAATATTCGTACCCAGGAAACGTGTTTGTTGGGCCTCTAAGATTAGATCCTTTTAAACTAAGATGACGAGAACAGTATCCTCGTCTTTGACTCTCTTTATTACATTCATTTTTACTACAAAGCCTGCGCCATTGTTTTCCATTGAATTTTTTTCTAATTCCAGTAGGTGTAACCACTACATCACCCTTTTTATACCTATGTGGCGTTGCTGCCTGAGATCTATTGAACACAATATATTATACTTATTATTAATTGGGACTTACGTGCAGCTGCACGCGCGTTAATCACTTAATCTCATTAAAACTTTTTTTTTTTTTTTTTTCATTTTTTAATAATACCTGGGTGTGGCTGCCTGAGAACGAGGCGTTATACTACGTTGTTCAACTAGGCTACTAGTACTTCCCCGGCTTTGCATGCTGCTTCTTTTGCTGCTTCCTGACAATTTTGCATCTGTCAGTTGAATATATCTGAATTACTATACTATTGTGTTTTAATAAAAAATTCTTTTAATCTCAAAACAATCTTTAATTATGTTTTGTGCTGAGAAGAAATTTTTTTACAAAAAATATTGTATCAAGCAATACTCAAAAATGATCTCTTCTGCTTATTACAGCATTCTGCTCATCAGCAGAATTATAAATTTCGTCTTTTCAAGAATACACACAAATCTTTAAAGGTTCAAAACTACATCTAACCTGCGTCCGAGGGAAATGTAATATCCTCCCTGTCTAAATCATCCTCGCTTTCTAAGTCGTCGTAAGGCCGGCTGCCATTACTTAATGCCGTAGCAGAATGTGCAGGAGTGCCTAGATTCAAGAGAGGACTGGTACCGGTTGTTCTATAATAACTTGTGTCATTGTGAGTCGATATATGCGATGTGTGATGAGGAGTATGATGGATTTGCAAAATTGGCACTGCTGTCGGAGCTTCTGTGGTATTTCGATACCCGTGTTCTGTTGTAAATTTCAATAAAAGAGATAAGCGTTACTACCTTTTTATTTCAAGATATGTTCGAAATATCTTGTCTCATGCGAAAACGATCTTCCTTACCAATGGTTTCGATCCTCGAAGGATCACAGTCCTCTAGTCCCTCCTCCAATTCGTCCGCCCAAGGAGGCTGCACTAGCCGCAAGTCCGCACGGTTCACAACAATACTCTCAACCTGATCACTATCTTCCCGCGGTATTTTCACAACAAAACGATAAGGCTTCGTTGTTATTATTTTGCACACTGTCCCCTTAACAAACACCTTCGCCGTGTCCACGTGACCGTCAGACACCGTGATCGGGCACTTGATGCAAACCTTCGTATCCAAAGTCACCTGTCCCAGAGACGGGCTTGCATCGCTTATCACGTCGTATCTTCTCGCGCCCAAAATGTCACTGTAACGCACTAGCTTCTTCTCACCGTCGAACTCAATGAAAATCTCACCGTGAACAACGTTACGTATAACACCCGGATAATAATATGAATCCCTTAAAGCTAACACTCTATGGTCGCGCCACTCACTGAGATCAATAGCAAGACGAGGACGAGAACGTGAGGGTTCCTCGCGAAGAGAGTAATCCACAGCTGTGCTTTGAGGAGGTAACACTACTACCGAAGAATGAGCTGAGGATACCTAAAATCGCACAATACAAAAATTAAATTAGAAAATATCACGGAGCGAAATTCTGCTCAAAGAAGAGAATTTGAGAAGAAGAAATTTTGTCAACATACTTGATAACAATCAGACTCTTGTTGTTGCGGTGATTGCCGGCTAGTTGTAGTTGGTAAGTTCGTTTGCTGAACCAAACCCGGCTGAACGCCAAGCAGCATACCCGGCGTACGTATATTAACCATATTATTTATGTTGCTGGTGACGTTGCTGATCTTGTCCATCTCTTCAAGTTCGGATGGATCGAATTTACGTTTCTTTGGAAGCTTTTTAGCACTGATGGTGGGATCCGATGGGTCTCGTTGCGGCGGTGCGGGAGGCGGGGGTGGTTGTTCCTGAATAGATTTCTCTTCAATCGAAGTGCCACCACCCCCGCCTGCCCCATATTGCCCGCCGCCGAGGCTGTCCCGTTTCTCGTGCATCTCAGGGTGAGCAGTCAGCATTTTGGCCACCTCACGCTGCTCTGTAATAAGAATTTACATTAATATTAATTTTTTGTATGTTACAAGAGGAAAAGTTAATTATATATACAAGTTTTGTTATCAATTTTCATTATAATACATGTATTAAAATCTCTGTTTGAACTGTTCCATCTATGGATACTCGCAATCCAAGATAGTGTTTCGCACATCTTTAAATACATATTTTAATATTTCTTTGCACTTTCCTGAAGACAGAATTGTTGTTTGTGTTTAATTCAATTTATTTTCACGTTTATTAAAAAACAATTCAGAGCAATGAAGAAAAAATGCAGAGAATCATGAGGCGAAAAGTCACGATATCGTTGCACAAGAGAAGTGAAATGAAGAATTCACGGAATTGAAGTTTGAATTATGTAGGTATTTCGTAGTGTAGTCGCGTTTACGACACCGAGCGATAAATGTGGAAATATATATACTTACAGTCCGTACAGTCGAGAGGAGGCTGCGTGCTGAAATGTGGCGAGCTGTAGCTGGGAGGGTGGTGACACCGGCTGGGTGCATACCTCAGCACCCGACTGTCGGGAACTGGATGCGTCGAGTCTGGGCTCTCTCTTCTTTGTCTTTCGTACGACGGGGCTGCTGTACCCTCTCCTAACTCCAATTCTTCTTCCCAACCCCAACTGCCGAGCATCCTCCTCCGAAAATTCTCTTTTTAGGCAAACACTCGTCGTCTCTTCTTTAATTGTTTCGCGTCTCCACTGAATGTCCTGAAAAGAGAGACAGTGTGGCTTTACTTCGACAGTCGACCCTTCTTTCCTTTCTTCTCCTCCCTTTCCCCTTGCTCGGTTTTTTTCCCATACGGTTTTTCGACAACTGCGTGTAAAAAATTCGGTAAGTCAGGTCAGTCGGGCCTCGTCCCTCGTATGATTCAGAAGGACAGACTTTATTCTCAAAATCGCTTTAAATGAGTATTCTAGTCTCTCAAACTTCAGCGCAACAATAATGCAACATTGTTGTTCGGTTTAGCATAAAGTCGACCAGGTCCAGACTTTTTTATTTGTCTCATTCAAAGTAAAAAAAAAAAAAAAACATCCATCGCTCTTTCACATTCTCACTCTTTCTCAAATATAATAGTACATAGCGAAGCTTCACGTTTATTTTCGGTTATTAGAGACGACTAGTCGCATACTCTGCGCTAAGAAAATATTTTTATACGTAAAGACAACTTTTAATCCATCACCTTCTCTTCTCGTGTTATAAAATATTCTGTAATGTTCGAACATAATTCTCCGGTCTGTGAAGTTCAAGAAGAACGTTTTGCTTCAACTTTCGGAGTTCCGAGATATCTGTGTATTCTAAGATCTGAAAAAATCTACACGATCCTCATTTAAATTTGGAAAACAGATTACACATCATCTGAACTGATGATGATCAGATGATAGAATATCAGCATATGCACATGCATTTTTTGTTTTGCGACACGCGCATTTCTCCGAAGAAAAAACAACACTCTTCTTCCCGCTCTCTTTCTCGCTTCTACTCGTCCGATGGTGTTGGCAAAGGAACCAGGAGGGAATGCATCAAGTTTGCTGCTCCCTACTTCGAGTCTGACTCACGACTTGCCCGGCTCGTTCGCCTATACCCAGGAGAGAATCTGCTATTGTATCGTGTCCGCTCGTTCGTTCCCGCTATCCGCCTTCTATTCCCCGCAAACGTCTCTCCATCCTTCGTCACCCCTGGCGCCCTTTCTTCACGGGAGCGGGTTTTCCCGCAGGCGCGCACGCTTACAAGTACGCATCGTAAGGGTGGCATCGAAAACTTCCAAACCCGATAAGTTTAAAAAGATAAACCCGATAAGGTAAAAAAGATAACGCTTTTAAACGCGTCTTTGTTGCTAAAAGAAACAACAAACGATAAAACACAAACCGGCTTTACTGATGTGACGCGGCGTTTAAGCGCCGAATTTTTGCTGCCATTTTAAATCGCCATTAATTTTGCAGTCCCGTATCCTAAATAATTTTATTCAGCGTATTTATAAATTTATACGTTGCACAAAATTTTTTAAGGAGATGGAAAATTAAAAATGTTAATTCCATTAATTGTTTCTCTAAAACTGATTCTATGTGATGACGAAAGAATGCGTTTAGGGATATTTCACGTTATTTCAATTTTTGTTTCAAAGTGCCAAACATAATGTACCGATTAAAAATATAAAATTTCAACTTTACCACATAAAAGAAGAAAAAGGTTTCATTTCATTCGTCCGCAACTTAGTGTGTGCGTCACAGCGGTGACTGAGATTTTTAAAATATATATCGGCGTCGGAGATATACCGAAAAGAGAGGAAGGACAACGGACTACGGTTTTCCATTGTACAGGTGTCACTCAATAGAAATCCGCATTAGCCTCGGGCCAGTGCGTTCCCGAGAGAATTGCTTTTCGGAAATGTCATGAAAAAAAAAGAGGGTACAGCGTTAAGTAGGAAAAGAACGGACGCGACACACGTCTCTCGCGCGCGATTCTGTTGCTCATTTCAAATGGAATTCCATGAGAAACTTTTCTCTAACAATTTTTAACCGATATATACATATATATATATATATATATATATGTATGTATGTATATACGTATATATGTGTCATATATATACACGCGCACGGATCTATACGCACGAATTTTCCTTTTGTCTTCTTACATTCTTCGAAAATCATATCGAAATAAAGTCGCATTGTGCGAACAGTTCTGTCTCGGTCAGGGAGAGACCAACTTATAATAACATAATATAAATCCGACCGAGAGGGTGCGTTCTCAAACAGGCATATAAATCAGGCACCTGAGTGCTCTGAATGCCCCCAAAGCGATAATGCTATACTAAATTGACTGCAGGTAGAAGGGCAGGTTCTACGACTGCACAAAAAAATTTTTTTGAATATTCTCATAATTTTACACCTTACACGCCATTTACATCTCGGTGTTGCTTCTCGACCGTTTAACGAGCTCCGCTTGTCTCGCCACGCAACTCGTTCTGTGACAAAAGTTGTTACTTTATTTTATCAATTGAAAAGTAATAGTCAGAAAATGTGGCAACCGACTTCATCAGAAGATTTGTTTGTGTGTTTACTTCCTTACTTAATTTTTTTTTAAGAGTATGACCAAAACCGCGAAACACAGAAACGACACGCAATACGCGTAGCGATAAACGCGCGAATGCTAAATGTCAGTGAGTGTACAATTCCACGAATTAAACCGCAACTCTGTGCGACGCCACAAATGTTCGTTCCATCATCGTCGTCGTCGTCGTCGTCGTCGTCGTCGTCGTCGTCGTACCCGCGGCGGCGCAAACACGCACTCCTCACAAAAGCCGACGTAAGTTTTCGTATACGACCGTCATCATTGCGCGCCGTGCTCGAACAACTCGCGCCTACATAAATACGGTGCGACTTCCGGCATGTACCATAGATAATGATATCACTGGAATGCACAACTCGTTAAAAAACTGCGGACACATTATTCCCGTGACAAGCAACGCCGCTCCGCATTCAATTATGTACTGACAAAGATTTCTCGTCATTTTATCTGCGCATACATTACACACACACACACACATACACGAAATGCTCGCGCGCTTCTTCAAAAGATTTACATTTATAATATATTCAAATAATTATAAGATAACGCGATTTTAAAAATTTATTTTATCGAAATTCAAGTTGCAATTACAGAGATTAACTTTTTTATTTGTTCATTTATTAAAGTCTATAGATTTTTAGTATCGCCAGGTAATATCTCACGGAAATCACACGTGTATTCTGCGGTGCGTTTGCTTAAGCAGGTCTCGGCTTTTTATCGCGCGCACATTCCGCATGCAAAACTTTTTATACGCACAAAATAGCGCGATCGCAACACGTATAAATCCGTCATAAATTTTCATGATAATAACAATTTTATAAATTACAATAGCTCGGTGTTGCGATAAAAATGTCAAACGTCGAAAAACTTACGTTATTATTTAATAAATTACTATCAATAATAGAGAAGTCCGCTATTTATAAAGAAAAATGTAGTAGTTGTGTTGTTCGGTGAATTTTATATTCACGTGAATAAAAAACACTTAACGTTGCTGTCTCACAGCGCTATTATAAAACGCGCGAACTTCGATTCGATACTTCTAATTGCAAATCGCACGACACCGACATTCGTCATCGGTTCCGGAATTCAGCGGCTGAAAACAAAAGCGCGTTCATTTCAACAATACAACATAGTTTGCCAGAAAGATTAACATTTTCTCTTGAGTCACGGTGCGTGCGTCGCGATGGTGATCGCAAATTATTTATTCTGTTTTTTTTTTCATAGCGAGAGCGTGTGATAAATGCAAGTGCGCGCGCGCGCGCATACGTACATTACGCCGTTAAGACGTAACGTAAACGCGGAGGTTCTTAAGAATCGCTTCGCCAACACACACGAATCGCAAAGCGAAGTTACATACGCGAGAGTCCATCCTCTCCATAAACAGATTGATCAACACACACCCGGGCGGTAGTAACAAACGCTCGCGAAACGACGAAGACCATCGTGTGACGTCATATTCTGTAACGAGGCGGCGAGATTATAGGCGCACGAAACGTCGACCGAGCGTGTACACGTGAATCGTGTGTCACACATGACTGATATAAACTTCTCAAGTAGCCATACCCGGTGGATCAGCGAAAGAAATACTCCGATTTGCTTTTTAAAACACACACACATATGTATATAGAACATTGATTTATTTATAACATCTACTTATACATTTTTATGTCTCATTTTTATTTCTCCATATTTTTACAGAAGAAAGAACTTTTCGAGACAAAATAATTTTCGTATATTCACGCGATTCTTCTCTCTCTCTCTCTCGTGTATTTTTGTAAACAAATTCTTTCTCATTTTTTTGTCGATTATTTCAATAACTGTTTTTCAGTTATTCACTCTCATGAACTGTTTGAGTTCATGAGAGTGTAATCGATGAATAATAACGCCGTATTCTAGTTTGTTCGCGCGACAATATCGGAACACAACCTAGGTTGTTGTATCGCGCAAGAAAAGCGTACTGGCGGTGAAGAAACGCGAACGAAAAACAGCAGATTTCAAAATAGCGCGTACATATATATATATATATAAATATATATGTATATATATATACATATATATATATATATATATACATTGGAGCGCACAGTTTAGCGCCCGGGATAATAACGCAGTATGAAGAAATAAAGTTCACACACACTTTGCGCAACCGCGCGGATGCACCGAAGAGTAACGCCGGCATTATATTCGAATCGCGTGTGGTCTCTACCTGTACAATATTAAACTCTGTTTCTTGTTATCGCCGACGCTTTAGAAATATTCGCAAGGCATTTGCGACATTAAAAATGTCGTAAATATACAAGAAATAGAATTGCGGTAACAACACACACAACATAGACTTGAACGTGCGTCGCTTTGCTCCCATATGAATCTGTTCTTCTTTCATTTATTTAGTTTTTCCATATCGTATAAATTTGTATAATATGCGCGAAATTATTAATCGAGATCGAACGATAAGAACTTAAGAAAACTGAATGTGCAACATTCTTATCTCTTTTTTTTTCTCCTCGATATATACATTTTCAAATAATATGTTTAGACATTTTGGAATGCAATTTTTTTCTTAACTTTGTTACATCGAAATTTATTGCAAAACGTTTAATATAGAGCACTTCTATGATATTTTATTGTCTCAACGTTTAAAAATCATATTAATTCTGTTTGTCATACTTCAATCAAGTTGGTGAATAGTTTTACTCTTTGCCTTAGGACTCGTTGCAGATGACGCGAATTCCTCTGTGCGTGTGTGCGTGTGTGTGTGTGTGTGTATGCGCACAATGAACTTACGTGTGTCACGATATGTATATAATTCCGCACAGACTCAGCAGCGCATATAGTATCGCGGCCAATGAGCGAACGTGTGCTGCACTTAAACGGGCACGTGCGTGCCGATTGTAAGAATGAAGCGGAGGAGAAAGGAAGGAAAAGAGGATTAAGAAAAACAAAGAGGTGGAAGACAGTCATGCCCGCGGTGTGTCGATATTTATTGCAATGTTATCGGAAATCATGCTGAGAGTCTCGGAACAAGTGAAAACAAGTCCGCATAACTCGATAATGTGACAGGAAAACAAACAAACAAACAAAGTCAGATAGGTAGAACAATTGATTTTTTAAATAAAAAAATCATAAAAGTAGAAAAAAACTATTTTACCGGAACATTCGTTTTAAGTGTATTACACCGCAAAATGTTTGTTTTGTTTTTTTTTTTTTTCGATTCATAAAATCCTCTTTGCAATTTCTTTCTTTTGTTTGTTAGAGAAAGCGATTGTGTTTACCTACCAGACGAAATCTGCTCAAATATGTGCGTATATTTCAATCTAAAAAAAATCTATCTCTCAAGTAGCTTCGAGAGATAACACAAAAACGTATCTTAGATAAATATCCATGTGAAATAATGTGTGTTTGAGGATTTACTCGAAAAAGAAATAAATAGAAGACTGAAAATGAAAACACGCGCTCTACCTTGTGCGTCTGCGCATCACAAATGCACTTGTTCATTTCATTGTAAGGAACATACTGTACACACGCGTAAATACAGAAAGAGAGAGAGAGAGAGAGAGAGAGATTACAAAGTACAAAAGGTTAGGAATAAATTTGGATACGAATTGTGCGACTCCGGCTTCGGCGGATTTATTAATTGCGAAACAAAGTGCAGATTTTGTGCTGAATAAGTATGACACAAAAATGCAAGGTCCGTTTTGTTTGTCCGTCTGCCAAACTGCCTATGTTATTTAATCGTTTTTCACGATATTACTAATCGCGCGATTACGCAACACGACTGTGTATAACAAAAATACTCGTTATTGTAATTTATTTATTATCTCATAATGTAATATAATTGCAATGTGTTTGCAATTAATAAAATTAAAGGCGATATACTCAGTCGTAATGGTAATATAAAAAAAAAAAAGCAAATGAAAAATTGAAATTTTCAAGAACACACCGAATCACGTGACCTTTGACGATGTTGAGCGGGAGGGAGAAAGAGTAAACACATAATATATCATCACAACGAGCGATATAGCAAAATCTTAAAACAAATCTTGTCGATTATTAATCTTGCCACTTGTACAAGCATATTGATAATTATTTTCGACTAATCGAATATAATTGATCACCGAGATATTTAGAATCTGCAGTCCGGAAGGAATAACACACGCAACACACACACACACACACACACACACACGTCTCTCGGTACATTTACCAGTTGTTGTGATAACGACGCACCGATAACACCGATTATCGTATACGTAAATCTTTGAAAACCGCGGTCTGTTCCGTATAGAAACGAGAAAGGGAACTCATTCCTCTCTCCTCCTTTCGAACGAAAACAGACGCAGTGAAAGAGAGAGAGACACACAGAGACTTTTTCATATAT